TGCCCGGGAGAGGACTTTTGGTTGACCTGAAAATCTGCACAGGGATGTAATGCGATTATCTGAACGCATTAAATAAGGCAATGAAAACTGGTACGCAGCATCCCGTAGGTCCTACTCTTATTACTGATTAGAGGCGTGATGGTATGTCTAACGTCATTGTTTAAGATAGTCTGCTTTCATTTTCATAAACTCTTGTGAAAAAATATGTATTGACCCTCTCAACACGACGAGCAAAATAAATGACACCGGCAATACTTATTACGGGGCCAAATGCTTGTTCTATGAACACGCACTCGCCATGTAGACCTCGTCGAAGAGTTCTGGAAGGATGTCGAAGTGATTGGTTTTAAGCCTGGAATGAATGGATTAAAGGTGGCGGCCAGAGTTCCCGACGCAGTGGGTCGGTCGTGCCCCGTCACCAGAGATACCGGCCGGTCGGCTCGTGGCGTGCCACAGAGCGTGATCCGCCAAGGTTCAGATTTGATTTGCAGCCGATCTTGCTGAGATTCCATCGATTCATTTTTGGGGCGTCTAAACGGCAATAAACTAATATGATATTCCATGTCAGTTTGAAAAAAAAATGCAAGCTGCCGCGTATTCAAGAAGTGAGATCAAAGGTGAAAGTAGATCAATACATGCACTTAGCTGACCTCGACCTTTTATCTCCTGCACCAAGGTCAGCTCACCAGATCTCAGCGCAGCGCTCGGCTGCGGTGCGGACGGCGCCCGGCGTGTCGGTGACGCATGCGCAATGTACTCACATGCAGCCAACGAGCCGACATTGCCGGCGAGGATGACATTCGCAGTAATGGAGTCAGCCAACGACCGTCTCGTGCTCGTGTGAGGCCAGCCAACAATCAGGCGTAAGGCCGTGACATCGGAGTAATGGGCCGCCGACGTTGTGACGGGACACAGGGGAGAAGGCGACGGCCGTTCAGTCAATCGACAATGCAAAAGAGTTCCTAGATTTTCGGACTTACCGGACGAGAGCCGCAAAATGTTGGGGACGGCGTCTCTACGATAAGGAAATTTATGCATGGAATAAGTCTGTACCGCGGGGTTCCGAGTAGCTGAGTTTGGGTTTTTCAGCATTCAGGAGTTGGGAAATACAAGTTTGACGATGTGCATCATTGGTTCATTTCCAGGCGCACTCCAAGCGTTCCACGCTGTGAATGGGAAAAGCGGCCAGCGTGGACCGGGTGCGGCTGTGATGATGGTTCGTTCATCTGTGTTTAAAAACCAATCATCGACTGGGATTCTTTGGGTCCGATTGATGCCTGCTGACATCAGCATCACATGACACAGGCAGTGACCCTGCCTCGTGGTGACCACCCCACTGCTCCCTTTGTATATGCAGATGTAACAGCCCTCTCACCTCCAGGACACGATTTCAGCTAAAAGTCCACCGTCCGTGATAACGCTCCCGCATACTAAAGGGTCTGATTCTGCTCAGGGCACACCGATGGCAGTTCGCTCACGCCGCCCGCAATAGTTGTAAAGCTGACGTAGCGTTGGGTTTCGGAGTTCCGCTAATTTTTGGCAGAGGTCATCAACGAAGGGAACGCTGTCACTAACGCAATATTGGGCTGGCAGTTGTCAGCATCGTGGTCAGGCTTTTATCAGTGGCTGCAGAGGAGGGCGGGGGAGGGGTTAGGCCGGATCAGGGGTCCTCGTAATCTCGTAATCAATCAGGGCTCATGAGTTCAGATTGTATCATGGCAGCGAAAGGACTATCTATGTGGAAGGTGCGTTATATCTCATTTTTTTAATCAAGCCAGCACGTCAGTTTGCCACGCACAATTATGACCCACGGCCAGTGGTGCAGTTTCTATTGCATTGAAAAGGTTGCATCTAGACCCATCCCCAACTTGGCCTCCATCGCTCAAAATCCCCACCTCCTCTCAACTCATTTCGCGAAATTACGCCCTGCCCACGACGCCACCGATATGCTCGTACAGGCGACTGGCGTCCGGGTACGGTTTCGTTGTGTTCAAAAACGTGTCTATTTATATCTACACACATAATCACTAAGACCTGATTCATGGGCATTGTGAGCTGTTCGTGATCATTTTCAAGAACTGGATCATTAAAAATACATTGTTGCTTCGAGAAGCCCTTTCCATAACGTGAATTTTTCTAACGCAGGAAACAGTTTTGTTTTGTCTCACGCATCTACCTCGCTTCGCATTGCATAAAAGCCAATGGGGCCCTCGGTCCCCGGAAGGGACCCTGCTATCTACAGTGGTGGGGATGCCAGGCCTTTGACCCCCTTGGCTTCGCAGCTGGCGGTAGCCTCCATGGCCATGCTTCTAGCGAGCATGTTTATGCTCTTGCCTACCACACGGAACCAGCATGTCAGTGAGCCTAGTAAACACCGAACACTAACAACACTAACACCGAATTGCGTGATCGGGACGCCCAGGCATGCGACACACCATAGAAACGTCACGTGAATGCTGCTTCCTGATTGGCCATGCAGTGCTAAAGGTCAAGCAAAAATATGATCATCGCGCTGTCCTTGTCTGGCGCACGTCATCACAATTTCTAGTATCGGCGGACTTCAGTTGGCCCTCAACTCATGTAATGCTATCAGCGCAAGTTTAAAACGTGAATCACGTTTTGTGTTACATAACACAGGAAGTTAGGCGGCGGTGCGAATTATGGCGAAGATAAGTCTGGGAATCCAATAACTTGAGAAGAACGCCATAACCGAGTATGTGAATGCCAATAAACAATGCAAAATCAAGGCCAAATATGCAAGGACGTCTCGAGAAGGAGCCGACCGACGAGGACATAACGATATTGGTTCAGCAACATATCCGGCATCGCCACTCGACCCCACTATTGAAGTACTACATTTAAGCCAGCCCGTCAGCTACAGTGGCAATTCTGACACGGCCAGTCTGGCAGCGACTTGACGCCGTTAAGACGTTCCATAAAATGATCAAACGATGATGTGTTGAGTAACGTATTCACTAAATAGTGAAATTGTGTTGTTTAAAGCAGTCTTGAACACCTGACCTGCGCCCGGCCGGGGGTCTGAGACAACCGCACCCGTCGGAGGAGGAAGTTGACTTCCTCTGGGATTTCCAACTTCCAGACGCCGTATGCTAAAAACATGGGTAACCATGTGAGAGTATCGTCAAATCATGAACAATGCACGCCAATTGTTTTACTTTAAATCAAACGTTAGGTCACCAGAGGTCATGAAAGGTAAAAAACGTTCTGATAGATGCAGTTAAAAACCTTGTTAACACGTCAAGACGGATATTGAGGGCCCGGAAATAAGCGTTAGGACTGTAGGGAGTCCATTTCGATAGTTTCTGTTCCCCACAAGCGTCAAGTCAGATCAAGCCAACGTCCAAATTTGGTCTACCAGTTTCTTACAACGACATTTCTCACAATGTGCTCCAGGCTAAGTTTATTTTATTAGGTGCAGCTGTGGGACAAAAATATTCCAGACACTAAAATACCATCTTAGTCTGACCAAGAGATTATCTCAGGTCAACTTAGGTTAGATTTATAAACTATCCAAATGGATAAATTGTAGTGCTAACCGGGTCTATAAGACCAGTACACTGCTATTCCGTGGTCAGAAATAGTATGTTGCACATCTGCCGGTATTCAAGATCGCCTAGCTGTTGTCTACATTGTACATATAGTTCCCTCGACGTTTGGCAATGCATTTGTAGCAAACTGAGAACAGTCACTTTGGTACATGAAATTATACGTTATCAGTTTCACAAGCACGATAGGGAAGTGGTCACGCGCGTCGTGCTCGTAAATCTTGCGTCTCCACTTCTGACAACATAGGTAATTGACCTTTGATGACCTTATGTAACCTCGCATGTCCTCAGATGACCTATCGTAAGCTCGTTTTGCATTACGATGATAGCACAAGATGTTTTGAGTAGAGTATTCGAATTATGTGTTCAAAATACCTTGGCCAAGATTATGTACTCTGTGGTCATATGATGGCTGTGTATGTAAGTGCTCTTTTCCCCACACACAAACGCCAAAATCACGCGAAGATGCGTACAAATTTGTATTATTTACGAAGGAAGCAATAATAACCTGACTTCAGGTCTCTAACATCGCCTGCCTTAAAAGGCGACATATGCAACTGTGCTAGTATCATGTTCTATCATTAATGCCTCTATCTTTTAGTAACCCACAAAAAGCTACGTATAATGCAGTATGCATTCAAAGTTTTTTAGAGGTTGACCTCTTTGATGTGACGTAGGTCACTGATCTTGACAGGTCAAAGATTCAAATTTGCAAAAGGGATACCAGATTGAAACATCAAGAAGTACCAAAATTCCATGTTGTTGCGAGCGTTCATTTCTTGACCTGTGTCTAAAAACCATGATGGGAAATCAGTTTCCACACGGCTGGGCGCGCGTTAAAGGCAAACCAGTAGTTATAAGCAAGGCCATTTTATCATGCCGGATGCTACCCTCAATATCTTCAAATGTGGAACATCCCCGGAAGAAATGTGTGGAAATTGCGTACAGTGGGTGTTTGTGGAAAAGGGTAGGTAATTGTCGGCATAATTTTGTATTTGGCAATGAGCGATGCACGCTCTACATCATCTTGACGCCAGGGGCAAATGTTATAAGCAAATTGACCCCACAAACGTAATTTTCGCTCCGGCTTCAATCACTTTCTTATATAAAAACAAAAGGAAAACAAATTTACCGCACCAAATAATGTTTAACTAATGTGTTTTCTTCTACGCTCGTGGTGGTATGTCATACCGTAAATCACGTTAGAGGGCTGTAGCGCATGAGAGCACTTTTAATTATGATAACGCGTCGTAATGTGTTTTTTGTGTGATGTTTTTTACGACTTTGGCTTTCGAACAGTGTTGCGAGGTTACCGAGCATATCAACGATCCTTTGCTTATTTAATCGCGCAGCCGGCGGGCTGCAGGTATCGTTGATCTTCCCGTGGATCTATTGATCGATCAATCTCACGCTGATCGGTGTGATTGCTTTCAGGTGCTATGGCGAACCAAGAGTGCTATGATTAAAGGTGATCTTCAGTGAGAGCGCGTTCTTGTCAGCAAGCGTATCAATGGAAAGAAGCCTCGTGCAGCCTACGACGTCAAGAGCCTTGTTCGGCTATTTGCTGCTGTTTTTTCTCATTCTCGGTAAGCATATGCCCGCCGATGCCTGCCAATATAGATTATCCAATATGCAGAAGTTTGTCTGATGTGCATTGCTCCGAAAATTTCATCTTTTCATAATTGGTTTGATTTCACTTTCAATAACCATGCTCCCAAATTCAAATGTTTTAGAACACATTTAGAAATGCAGTTAAATTTGGCAGCAAGTTAACGGTACAGGTGAGCATTCTCAACAAACCATCGCGGGTCGGACCTTCAGCGTTCTTTAAGTCGATCTGGCTGTTAAATACGTGTTGCAATGCCTTTCGAACGTACTGTCCGGTGCACCTTTGCTGCGTTCGCCCGCCCGAGGTCTCAAGTGGTTCGTAAACTGATTGCAATTTATTGGCTGTCATGGAGATACGACCCTGGCAATGCCACTCATCTATGTATTGCCGCCTTAAGTTTGGTCACCATGATCATGATTGGTGTTTTACGCCTCACCGGCTGCCAGGGCCATTTCGAGCCCCGTACCTTTGTTAGGCATCATGTGGGATGCGGTGGTGTCGTGGTGGGGGCTTGAACCCCAGACCGACGGGTCCAAAGTCGCACCGCTATACCGACAACGTTCCCAAAATAAATGAAGGCATGAAAAATCGGGGCTGTCACATGAAACAAGTGGGTTGTGAACAAGCGATGCTGCTAAACGCCGTGCAAGACATTTCCTAGCTGAGGAACGTCCATCTGTGTGTTCGTATATTCCTGTACTCAAGCGATTAATACCTTTCATAAATGTATTTTCATCCTTTCTGCCTGTGTTTGAGTGAAGTGCCATTGAAACAAGCTGAGCTAAGCATGAGCACCATATGTCACTTCGACGATTTTGACCTGTGGATTGTGCGTAGATGGATCGCTTTTCTGTCATACTGATTGTTTTACGCCGGTAGCGTTGACGTACGTTCATGCACTCATGTTAGCTTGACCGTTAACAGCGCTTTAACGAAGTGTGAACAGGCTGAACTAGACTTGCGCTCGCAGACGTCACGGTTCAGTGTTACCCCCATTTGTTTGCAGCCGTTGGCGGGTTGGGTGGGGAGCGTGCGGGGTGTCAGAGCCCAGGTCACTAGAAGTGGTACTTCTCCAGAGCAGGGAAAGTTGGGCAGCATTCTCGGCGCGTGCGGGAGACTTAAGCTGACCAGGTCTGACACTGTACATGCTTTAATTATCCGTTCGCAGAGCTGGCTACAAAATGGGACTAAATCGAAAGCCCCATCACGCCGAGTACACGCCTGGGTTTCATGTTGATTTAATTGGTGAAACCGTCCCACCACGCCACACGGATACCTGTTATCTAGCTTTTTACCACAGAAGTAAGAGTAGAATGCGCAGCTGCATGAACGATCTGGCCGCTAAGTCAGCGAGTGAACAAGCTTGCGCTCGGCAACAAACGGCCGCACTGTTTTCCCAACGTTTGCAACGCCCATAACGCAAACACGGCATCACCGGTCGGGCTGGTCGAGTCCGGCGCCGCTCCAGAAGGCGGGGCGGCGGTGCTAATAGGGTTGTAGCGTGCGCTGACGGCGGGTCGGTCGGCGGCCGGACCTGGCGCTCCCCGGTACCGCCGCTGACCGACGGCCGCCGAGTACACGGGTGTCGACCGCCGGTCACCACCGGGCGTGACCCCAATCGCAGCCCGGGGGCCACGATAGCACGCCACGCCTCGCTTCGGGCAGCCGGATGTGGGACGAGCATGAAGGGCGCCGCACGGCTGCTGAACACTCGGTGACCCAAAATAGCCCGTTCTTATGGAAGTCCGGCGGGGTGGTTTCATCCTCGTCGTAATTCGCTCAGTCATCACCAGGTGTCCAACATGACATACGCAGTACAGGTACAAAATGTCGCCAATTCTGACGCCTGAGTCGCACCGGCGCTGCTCTCCAGGCACGTGCCACTGCACCAGGACGCTATGTGGCCGGATGCAGTCCATTTGACCCAGAAGCAGCCCGGTCAGCTAAGCCCCGCGGGCACGTCTCGAGCGTGCGTTAGACGGGAATAGAAGGTCGGCGCTGCGGGCGTGGGTGTCGCGAGCCGTCCCTCCCTCCCGTACACTGGCCGGTCGCGCAGAGCGTTCAGGGTGCGCGGGTGTGGTGGCAAATCCCAGACACGCCAGAAATGTCAAGCCACGTCACCAACTGTCGGCCGGTGAAATTGTTGGGAAAGCGCTGGAACGTGATGATGTTTGGAACAGAACAAATTGTGATGACAGTTGTTCGTAAACTTTGCAAGCGATAAAGCAGCCGTAAACCACATCGCCCACATGTAGCCAAGCAATGCAACATATGACGAAACACAAACGCTTCGATAAGAACCGTTTTCCACTTCCGCAGACAGGCGATGAGACAGCTGAGGCAAGCCGTTTATCTTTCCACAGTCCACCCAGGCTTGCAATGCTCGCAGGTAGATCGCGAGCTGCCGCAGTAAAGATGGGGAAATCGGAATATGCGCGCGCCACTTCATGCCGCGGCTTGACTGGAACGGGCATAACGTCGGTCTTCTCCGGGTGGATGTGTTGCCCATGCTCGGCGAACCGGACGCCCGCTTCTTCTTCCAACTCTGTCGTAAACTTCCTGCAAATCGCGACTGCGTGGCAGACAGCTCTTCGGAGGGCTACGGAGAATGCAGTGAGCGTTGTCAGCAAACAGTAAGAAATTTTCGGCCTGTGACGAAGGATGTAAAGGCATACGTGAGAAGAAAACACGTAATTGTACTCGACAAATAGCCATACCGACGACATAACCGGGGAAGACGGGAACATGGCGCTCTAAGCCAAGAAGTTTACATCACATACTGAGCGGTTTCGCAAGAGTTCAATCTAAATTCACAACTTCGAACAAACTGTGACATATTCCCCCTGTCGCTGAGGGAAATTGTGTTTAAGTGCCTATAGTGGTCGACATTCACAGCAGGTCCGTCGGTGCGACTCGAAACGCACCGCTGACTGCGTTGCGGAGCGTTGAGACGTGAGAAAGCAGCCGTTCACTGTAGCGTCTGCAGCTGCAGCCACACGGAAACACTCAGAGAAAAGTTGCAGCCACACTTGAACACTCAGAGAGAAACTGCAACCACACGGGAACACTCAGAGCGAAGCTGCAGCCACACGGAAACACTCAGAGCAAAGCTGCAGCCACACGGAAACACTCAAAGGAAAGCTGCAGCCACACTGGAACACTCAGAGCGAAGCTGCAGCCACACGGGAGCACTTAGAGCGAAACTGTATACCAGGCAGAACGCTGCCAGCCCGAAAAGTGGGAAATAACTAAGATTTGGTCGCGGTGTTGAGTCGAGCGACACGTGACTTATCACACGAGCCGGAAAGAAAGCAGAAACTAGTGGGCCGTTTCTGCTTAACACGTGCCCGGGTGGCTGGCTGAATACGCTTCGCCCGGGTGGGCGGGGGTTGATTTGAACCCATGCGATCTCAAAAATTAAGATAGCTAAGGACACCAAATTCACAGGATATATTAATTTGGACGTGATGACACCTGTGTCCAAATTTGAGGTGGCTAGGTCATGGCCCTGGTGTCAAATTATGTAAAAAAGGCAAAAACTCAGATTGGTGCCTCAGGTGCACCCAGACCTCCTCATGCAACCACCGTGAAGCTAGACACCTAAAGCAAAAGGTCATTGAGGTCAGTGACCTTGTTTGACCTTCATAAGACCAAGGCCACCAGGCATCTAAGAGATTGCCCTTACTTTGTCATTCAAATAAGCGCCAGGGATTACGCTAGGCGATGTCCCTAAAAACTGAATGTCAACCTGGGTAGTTTTAGGCCAGTAACCTATTCTACTAGTCTTTAAAAAGTCCATGGAACATGTCTGTTGTGGTCCCTGTCGTGATAAGTTTGAAGTAAGCACCAGAAACTGCCCGTTAAATCCAGCTCTCGAGTATAAAGCAGATTAGTTTTGATCTCGTTTTGACATTTATATCTGACTGCAGGTCAATAGAATTGGTTGTAATTCTAAATTCAATTGGGTTATTTCCTAAGAAACTATCGCAGATACGTATGACTTCGTCAAACAATCCGTTGCTACATCACGTTAATCGATTCTCTAGAAATGCCCTTTGCTGGCGGCCAAGTCCTGATTTTGACCTGCCAGAGGTCAGCAACCTTACGATGTACATCTAATTTTTACATCAATGATCCGGTTTTCAATTCTCTATAGCTATGCAAAGTTTTCCCCCACCAAAGTGCTCGTGAAGAGTGGTGGGGTTAATTCTTTTGTGGTGTGGTGCTTGATGTGACAGATAATGTGATCGATAGTGTGGCTTCAATTGTTCCCTACTATTCTTCGTGTAACTTAAGTCTGTCCAGTCTTTTGTTAGCTGTTTTAAGGACGTAAAATTTCTAGCAGCTCGATGGGGATTTGTTTCTTTCAGTTAGTGAAAGATTGGATATGTCAGAACTTTTTTGATCGGCATTTTCTTACCAATTAAAGATGAAAAGAAAGAGTGGATAGTGCCATCATATATTTTTATAGTTTTATATTTTACCTCTTTTCTCAATTTTCCGCGTGTATTATTGAGATGCCTTTGAGCGCATGCTTACAACTTGCACGCAAAGGAACGTAGAAACTTTGAGCGTTTTACGTTGATGCATATCAAGATTCATTCTACGTTTGCTCTTCTTGAGTGCATAACGAATATTTTCACTAAATTCTAGCCAGATCAAAGAAGGCATTCAGACCCGAACCATTTGTTTCGCACGCCGTCCATCAAAACCCTTACGATAGATTTATATTTCAGGCTTTTTCAATCCGAAATAAGTCCTCACATAGTTTTGAAACAAACCTCTCGCAAAGACAGGAGTCCCTCAGAAGCTCTCCCAATAATCATAATCGCCCGATGCTGTATGCAAGCCAGTGATGCACGGTCGCGCACTGAAATTTGAATGTGGCTTCTCTGCTCTGACGCAAGCAAAGCTGGCTCCAACAGCTGAACAGTGCTCCACAATTGATGGAACGGAGCTGCCGACCCTTGCCTTGCG